TGGAGGACGGTGATTGCATCACCGCTGTAGAGAAAGACGGTGATAGCTTCACCGCATTAAACGGCCGCGGTGAAGTCCTAACCTGCGTCGAAACTTTAAGAGAACGTAACTTTTTGCTCGGTTATCCGATCGTGGCGATGCAATACACACGTTATGCAATCACCGTGCTTCTCTCATGCAGTGATGCAATCACCGCCCTTCTTTCATGCGGTGATGCAATCACCGCCTTGCTCAGACGTGATGAAGGCCCAAACATGCGTAGATTGGGAAATATTTTCATAACGTGTGTATTTTGAGAATTTTTTTTTTAATACATGTGGGATTTTTTCCCCAGATCTGCTCCCTTGAAAAGCATAGGACTTTTTAAATCTTCTTAAATTGTAAACATGCATTAAACTCCTCATGAGTGCTTGCAGCTATGATTTTTGCACCCTAGCAATTCCTTGGCACTTGATTTTCATGGATAACCACAGATCCCTAGATGTTGTTTTGTTGATGATTGTCTTCAGGAATAGGTAGTTCTTTGCCTTCAAGTCCTTTAGACGATTCTCTTCCAGAGTTTTAAGTTGAGCAGGGGATAGCTCTTCTCCAGCTACATGTTCCTTGAATCCTACACTCACCACTGTCCAGTACTCTTTGGAACTCAGCAAATTTTCCATCAGCAGGCTCCAATGCTCATAATCTTGATCAAATTTTGGGATGCAGACTTGAGCAAAACTACTATTCTCACTCATGATTGCAGTCACAAATCCCAGACACGACTCCTCACAGATCCTTTAGTGTTTCCCAACCCATATGTGTTTCACTCTGCTTATCTTGCTCACAAATGCACTCAGAAACTCTTGTTGCTCTTGGTTACTTTGCAGCTTACTCTTATACCACAATGTAGAGTCAAAAGTGGAACAAACTGACAGAGTTCTTATTCCAAACGTTGAACAAACTTATGTACATGACTCTTGGCCATCAATCTCGGCCAGCACTCCTAACAAACTAAAAAACTAGACCTTAATCCAAGCCCTCAAACTCCACTATCCTGAAAACTAGGACACATGACCAATTGAAAACGACAGGACTCAAATGTAACTAAACAGAACTCTCAAGGACTAAAACTAAAAAAAGCCAAAATGGCACACTCTATTCAAACTTGAACTTGAGTCTGTTTGGCGCCAAGGATCTCCCGCCATGTTTGATCTTTATCTCCACCACAAACAAGCTCACAAGGTGCACATACGTCACTAAGGACTTGGAGTGGAACACAGAATCCTAACAAGGCAACAACCCTTAACATCACCACTACGAAACAATATTAGCTACTTGGTAAATAATTTGAACTAGGATGGAAGTCCGCGCTTCGCAGCGGGATATTGATTTGTTGTTGTAAAATGAACCTTTTTTATAAGTGAATTATAAATTGAAACTAAATATTCAAATAATTTGTTACTCATTACCCGACAATGAGAAATTAAGGTAGAATGAAGAAAACAACTTAAGAATAGAATGTTGAGTCACTGTTTGATTATTGTAGACCAAGAAATAAAAATCACCCCCTCATGTATTTTGTTGTTGGAGTTTTCTCTCTCGTTTGTTCTTCCTTTTGGTTCAGTAGTCTTGCTTAGGGGTGTTCAAATGGTTACCGTGATAATAACCAAATCAATTAAGCCTAAATTACATTAATCATTGAATAAAATGTCTTAACCAAACCGTCCAAATTAACATGAAAACCAAATTAACCAAACCAAAGTTTAATTGGTTTGGTTAATCGGATAATCGGATTAACCAAATAACATAACATTACATGAAAACATTATCTTGTTAATGAATAAAACATAACCATATGGTATTACTATCATTCGAGTTAATACATCATTCATCATCTCTGCACCTAATATAGTTAGCTTACAACAAACCCTTAACATAAATATTAAATACATACCAACACCACTCATCAGGAAGTTAAAGCTCTAATACAAAACACTTAAACTACACATAGTTTGATGTGATTGTCATGGTATTGTACGTAATCCTAAGATTTAGTAGTTGTCCAAAATTGTTTTGGTTTAGTAAATAGGTAGTCACATTTAATTTTTGACCCATAATGTTTGGTTTGTTGTGCACATGAAAATAAAATAGGGAAACATGAAAGTTTGGTTTGGTTGGTTGGATGGAAGTACATAATTTTGTATATTAAGTGTATCATTAATTGGTTAATTGGTTTAATTGGGTAGCAGTGTTGAAACCGAACCAAACCACCTAAACCAATTAAGCTAAATTGTTGAACCAAACCAAACCAAATTAACTGAATGCTACCGGTTAATATGGTTACCACGGTAACCAATCCGTTTGAACACCCCTAGTCTTGCTCTTGCTGGGAAAGGAGGAGATGGGCAGATGGGAGAGAGAGGAACGAAAGAGAGAGAGAGAGAGAGAGAGAGAGAGAGAGAGAGAGAGAGAGAGAGAGAGAGTGATGAGTGGTGGAAAGAGACCCAAAATTCATTCATGCCCTCAAAACTGTCAAGGGTAAAACCGTCCTCGACCCAAAATGCGTCAACAATGGATTTAACTCAATAAAGCGGGATTTTGGGTTCAATTGTCATATGAGGCGGGTTCAATTTGGGTTCAGTCCCAAAGCGACCCAAATTTGTGAACACACATGAATTTCTTTGACCGATTTTATAAAGCGGGTCGAGTTTCTAACATAATTAATCCACACGCGACCCAAGTTGTCGATCACAAAAGAGGCTAAATTCGTTCTCTCCCCAAAAATGTGAGAACGCTGGATTTATAAAAGCGGGGTGTGTTCTTAACAAAATGCACAGCAGACCCTGTTCGTTATTTATAAAAGGCGGTAAATTTATTCTTGACCCAAAATTCGGATACATCAACACCGACTCGAATTAGCTTGAACACACATATGTTTGGGTTCAATTGTCATAAGAAGAAATATTTAAAATATGGGTAAAATTTGTTCCCGACCCAAAATTCGACAACACCAAAACCGGGTCGAATTAGGTTGAATACACATGAATTTGAGTTCAACTATCAGGAAACAATTAAAACATTTGTAATTAAGGAAAAGTAAACAATAAAATAATCATAGGTAATGTGACTCTACCAAATAGTAACCCAAAACTTATTTTTTCAAATAGTTAAAGGTTGCGACTGAAAGATCTAACCCCCTAAAGTCTCCAAAATCATTTGCATGCCCGATACAGCATAAAAAAACCGATAAAAAAATCATTTGCAATAAGAAGACAAAAAAAAGTAGTAAAACGACCGTAACCGTGATTGATAAGCGAAGGAAAGAAGAAAAAAACTTGCTCGACCCAAAATTCATTAATACCAAGTTCAAATCACTCTATTGATTGAAGCTCGTAAAACTCGCTTACCCGGATTCAACCCATTGATTGAAGAGTGAAGAACTTGTTTTCGATCCAAAATTTGTAAAAACCGAGTTCAACTCGCTTTAACCATGTCGAATTAGGTGGAATACCATTTATTTGAGTTTAATTAGGATTCAATTGTCATAAGTTAATTGGTTAAAACCTTAATAGCATAAAATTAATTGATTAAATCCTTAATGGCAACCCAAAATTCTTAAAATCAGAGTGAAACCCTTTGTAACCGGGTTCAATTAAGTTAATTAATTAGAGCCTACAAAAACTTCTTCGTGGTTAGAAATAAATTTTATACCGGATTCAATTCGTAAATCGACTTCTACCCAGTTTAACTTAATGGCACAAAAGCGTGTAAAACTCGCCGGCAACCCAAAATCCGTATAACCGGCGTAAACTCGCTTTAACTGGGTTCAATTAAGTTAATTAATTAGAGCCTAAACAAATACTATGTGGTTAGAAACAAATTTGTCACCAGATTCAATTCGAAAATTTGTAAACTGGATTCAACTCTGTTTAACTAAATGGCACAAAAGAGTGTAAAACTCGTCGGCAACCCAAAATTCATAAAATCGGCGTAAACTGTCTTTAGAAACAAATATGTCACCTGGTTAAATTCGAAAATGCAAAAATCGGCTTCTACTCGGTTTAACTTAATGGCACACAATTGTGTAAAACTCACCGGCAACCCAAAATTCATAAAACCGTTGTAAACTCTCTTTAACCGTGTTCAATTAAGTTAATTAATTAGAACCTACAAAAACTCCTCTGTGGTTAGAAACAAATTTGTCACCGGGTTCTATTAAAAAATACGTAAATCGGCTTCAATTCAATTTAACTTAATTTCACAAAAACTCCTCCAAGCCAAAATTAATCAACACCGGGTTCAATTAAGCTAATAATTAGAATATACAAAAACTCCCCCGTGGTTAGAAACAAATTTGTCACCGGGTTGAATTCGAAAATTCGTAAACCGACTTCAACTCGGTTTAAATTAATTGAACTTAATATCACAAAAACTCCTCCGAGCTAAAATTTATCAACATAGGATTCAATAGTTAATTAATTAGAATCTACAAAAACTCCTTCGTGGTTAAAGACAAATTTGTCACCGGGTTCAATTATAAAATTCGTAAACCGGCTTCGACTCGGTTTAACTTAATGTCACAAAACTTCTCCAAGCCAGAATTCATCAATATCGGGTTCAACTTGTCTTAACCTGGTCGAAGTAGGTTGAATACCCATTGATTTGAGTTCAATTTGAATTCAATTGTCATAAAAGAATTAATTAGAACCTTAATGCACAAAAGCTCCCACAAACTTTGGTTAATTACAAAAAAAAAACTCCTTGTGATGGGACACTATGCAATAGTAACTTGATTACTTATTCTTTCATAGAGATAATAATAATAGTTAGACTGAGTAAATACGTTATATTCAAATAACATTTCGAACAACAGTTCGCACACGAGAATAATTGACGTAATGAAAACCCAATACAAGAAACCCCATCATACATATATATATATAGATCGAGACTCGGGCACACATAAAAAAACCATTACATAAAAAAACCATTACACGAGATAATAATAATAGTTAGACTGAGTAAATACGTTATATTCAAATAACATTTCGAACAACAGTTCGCACACGAGAATAATTGACGTAATGAAAACCCAATACAAGAAACCCCATCATACATATATATATATATAGATCGAGACTCGGGCACACATAAAAAAACCATTACATGAAGAAACTTGCTCACAAGACACGAAAATGCGAAGTAGAAGTAGAAGTACAACTAATAGCAGACAAAGAGGGAAGCAGTCCCATGCATGAACTCTAATTCATGTATACCATGCACACTTAAACCCTTGGAGTTGGGATGACCACCAATGGGTTCAGTTTCATCAACGTGACGCCATACCTCTCATCCATCTCCAAATCCTCCGCCGCCATCCCCGCCGGCAGCGCCCAGTCAAACCCGTGGACCAGAGTCGCCACCGCCAGCTGGACTTTCCTTATAGCCATGGGCAGCCCAGTACAAATCCTCCTCCCGCTCCCAAACGGCAAGTACTCGAAGTGGCTACCCTTGAAATCCACGTCACCAACCATGAACCTCTCCGGCTTGAAACTCAGTGCGTCTTCCCAGTAACGCGGGTCCCTCCCGATCGCCCACACGTTGACGAACACGTGAGCGCCCTGAGGTACGGTGAAGCCCATGACGTGGCAGTCCTTGGCCGCCCGACGTGGCAGCAGCAGCGGCGCCGGAGGGTGGAGTCGTAGGGTCTCCTTCACGCATGCGCATAGGTAAGGCAGGTCGGCGAGGTCGGATTCTTTGATGACGTGGCCTCTGGGGAACTTGTCGTCGAACTCCCGGCGAGCTGCCGCCATTGTATCAGGGTTCTTGAGAAGTTCCGCCAGCGCCCATTCCATGGACGAGCTTGTTGAATCTGAGACCGCCGCCAACAGTTCCTGATCATCAGTGATTACAAGTCACAACGACATTATATTATTGACACGTCGGCGTTAAATATTTTATTGCTTTTTGACAAAGAAAATGTTTTTTTATGTATTTTTCTTGACATTCGTGAAATAATACAAAACAATACGATGAAGGGATTACCACAAAAGTATAACTGATCGCCTTGTCGGAAAATCCCGACTCGAGCAACGCATCCAGGAAGTCACGATCAGGGCAGTGGCCGCCGCCGTTTTCTTTGGCCTCCCTCCGCCCGGAGATCAGCGGGTCCCACAGCTCCCTCATCTTCGCCACGCACCGTTTCGTACGCTTCCTCATGCCTAAAAGGTCGAGCCGGCCCAACGACGGATAAAGGTCCGAGATATTCGGAGCAGCGTACAGCTCCATCATCTCCCTCACGATCCCGCTCATCCGCTCGCTGTCGCCACCTTCCAGCTGGACCAGGTCCCGGGACACGTAAGTGCCAGCCAGGCCGTTGAACGTGTAGGCAAACGCCACGTCACGGATCCGGACTTCTTCCCCTTGCCTCCGGTTCAGAAACCGAGCCATCTCCCGGGCCTGGTTCTCCCTTATTCCGGACTGCTGGTCCACGGCCTTGGACGTGAACAGCTCGGCCCGAACCATCGAGCGGAGGGAGCGCCAGTGGTCGGTGCAGTGGGTGGACCAGGCGAGGGAGTCGCGGTTCAGAGCCGGGTCACGTGCGAAGGACACGTGGGGGACGCTCCGACCGGAGAGGTCGTGGTCGTGGGTTTTGAGGATCTCGCTGGCTGCTTCCGGTGAGGAGCCTATGACGACGGTCTGGGTGCCGAGGCGGAGCGAGATGAGTGGGCCGTGGGCTTGGGAGAGTTGGGAGAAGGCAACGTGGGGCATGGATCGGACGTGGAGGATGTTGCCCAGGATGGGCCAGGGTTTTGGGCCTGGGGGGAGTTGGACGGACGGCCTGCGGTTGCGGAGTAGGAAGAGGGAGAGGAGGAGGAAGGAGAGTATGGGTAGAAGAAGAAGCAGTAAGTCGGGGAAGAGGAAGGCGGGAAGAAAGGGAGAATGGGATTCTACGACGGTCGCCATTGTTTTGTGGCCTGTGGGAAATGGTGAAGGTGATATGGCCTCATGGGTTATTTATACCAGGTAAGTAGGGAGGGGAAAGGTTTAGGGTGGGCAATGGGAAACGAGTATTTTGGTATACTTATATCTGTCCTTTTTTTAGAGTTATAGATACCCAAATACTTGTAAATTTTTTATGAGATTTGAGATCAAGAAATTCTACAACGAGTACCCGATTAATATCCATTTGGCTATTATGGGTACCCGTACTACCCGCCCAAAGCTATTGAACTAGGTATAGCTTGTTAGAGAGTGATATAAGATCCAGCAGAACCTTCTCCCAACAACTCGAGTTATTGGGAGCAACTGGTTCCTGACATGGTATCAGAGCCTAGAACCGAAAGGTCATGTGTTCGAATCTTCACGACCCCCAATATTAACCGTTGTCTTTCAAGCACATGGTATGGTGGGCCTGTGCAAACTTCAAGCCTATGGGTTGGCTTTCGTTTGAGGGGGCGTGTTAAAGAGTGGTATAAGATCCAGCAAAACCTTCTCCCAACAACTTGAGTTATTGGGAGCAACTCGTTCCTGACATAACTTACCTTTTCATATGTCAAATAAAAAACCATCCGTAAATTAATCAATTATATGTAATCTAGCTAACTCTATTAATGTGGTGGAATTTTTAGCACCAAGAGCGATGGAAAAGTGCAAGAGCAGGGCCTCATAATGGGTCGCTCTTGTTGAAATGAAAGTTGCCCGAAACAGACTGGAAGTGCAACTATTAATTGGGTGTTTTATAGTTTTACCCTCTGTTTTCAGAACCGGACCGGAGGGTGAACCGGAAAAGTTAGTGGTTTAAGGGTTCACTGGTTAACCGTTACAAACCATTGGTGAACCGTTGATAAAACCGTTAATAATATAGAACATATAAGACTTGTATATTACACTAATTTAAGAATGAAATTATCATTAACCATAAACAAGTTCATATTCATATCATCCAAAAAATATCTAATAAATCATTCCAACCTTCTCACAAAAGAAACCATATTTTTTAATTCAAATTAAAAATTACGGTTCTAGTTGGTAGTAGGCAATGTAAAATCGACAATAAGGTTGAGGAAGCATATATAAAATTAATAATTATGATTTGATGGTCTTAGTTTATGTTAAAATATTTTGTTTTGTTAAAATAGTGAACCAATGGACCAGTTAAACCGTGTCGGTTCATCTGATTTTATGTTGAACCGTGAAAAACCGTTTGGTCCATCAATAACCGTTCAAACAATGAACCGAACCGCTATCGTAACTGATTTGACTGTTCTACTGGCCCGGCCTTTGATCCGGTTCGGTTCTTATAACAAGGGTTTTACCGCCACCTCTCGTTCCACTATTTTTACCTCATTTTGGGGAGTATTTGTGTGACTATATCCATTTAGTTTTTGTCATTTCATATTATATGGGTTACCTGCATGTATCCATATTCCATCCCGTATAGATAATGAGTACCCGTTAATCCGTAAGAATTTAGAACATGAGATGGAGTTTCATATACAAATGAAAATGGGTATTTGTTTCAAACGGGACTGATAATCACTTCCATCCCGTTGCCCACCCCTAAAAAGGCTTCCATCAGGGTTAATGAAACGGAACTTGTGCTGGTTGCCGTTAAATTTACTGTGGCATCGTTAAGGGAAAAGGTTTCCGTACGTCAGCGGTCAGCTTTGCATGGTTGTGGGCCATGTTGCTTTTGCAAATGAATAATGAAGGTATGGTACTCGTTAGATAGGGACTTGTTCGTGTAAGGAATCAATTTACTTAAGACTTATATTTGCCGTCACTAAGAAAAGTACTAGGAGGGAGAGAACGAAAGAGAGAAAGATAAAAACTCACTTTTATCCATTTTCTTGATTAAATTGACACGCGAGTAGAGGTGTCAATTGGATCGGATTCGTGGATTCGTGGATTGGATTGGTGGATACATGGATCAAATGGATTGGATCAAATGGATTGGTGGATTCATGGATTGGATCAAATGGATTGGTGGATTGATCCATGAATCCAAATGACATCCAAGGCTTGGACCAAAATGTAAATTTTGAAAAGTTTAGGTACTAAAATGTCATAAAGAAAAAATTTAGGTACCAAAATTTAATTTTCCAAGGATATTCTTTGTATAAAAATATAAATTTTAGGTACCAAAATGTAAAATATAAAAAATATAGGTACCAAATCGTAATTTGCCATTTGGATCCATGGATTGATCCATGAATCCACCAATCCAATTGGATTTGGATCAAATGGATTGGATTTAAATGGATTGGATTAAGTGGATAATTTGGTGAATGGATTGGATTGGATTCATGGATTTGGATCATAATTGCCACCTCTACACGCGAGCATACTATCTATGAGGATTATTGCAAAAAAGCCATAACTCTTAATAATTCACGGGATAATATTGAAGGTAAAGAATGACGTCCGATCCTCTCCAAAGAAAAGAAAATGACGCGATATCAAAGATCTTGAGAATCAAGTAATATGGACAAGTATACTGAGTAAACTTATCATGATTTGCTTGGATGATTGATCATAACACCATATTAATATTGATTTTTTATCAATCACGTGTTTTAAGGAGTAAACAAAACCGGCAAAATATACCGTTATTATAATTTGTTCGAGGACGGGGACTTTCAGAGGTATTTCGTCGGTGCAAGAATTTCAGTTCTGGTTAAATAGCAGCAGAGGTTTCACCAATAACCTGGAGAATGAGTGACTAAGTTCAAGTTCTTTTGATTTTCAAATTGAATATTTCAAATTCTCATAACCTTCTCGAAGGCACAGGCGTGCGTAATGGGCAAAAAGCAAAATGGATAAATCAGGGACACACACATAAACAAAGAGACCGAACAAAATTTACAAGACATAAAGCCAGACAAGAGTCCCAAGAGGTAAAGAAAAAACAGGAGGAAGTAATGTAAAATTTTAGGAAGTCCGTGGAGATTCATACTAATTTTAACTAACAAAGTGCGTTTTTCTGAGAAATGAACGAGTTTTTTTTTTAATAATTTTAAACTTAAATGTGTAGACGGAATAATACAAAGATGAATGACTTCTTGATAAGTCACTATGGTACAAACAAGAAAAATTATGTAGAGCTTGTTAGAAACCGAACAGAAAACTTAGGGGTCGTTTGCTTCATGGATTTAAAAATGAGGGTTTTGTAATTTAAAAACCCAAGGATTTATCAAGGATTTGAGGCATCATGGATTTGTAACAATCCTTTGTTTGTTGGGATGTTTTTATCATGGATTTAAAGGTGTGATTTACTACTTAAAGTCAAAAATTACATTACTGCCCTTTTCTATATGTTTGACATGTTTATGATATGTACACAAAACAAGGACAAAACTTCAAAATTACCTTACTATCATTTTCTATTTGTTTGACATGTTTATGATATGTACACAAAACAAGGACAATACATACTAATAAGCATAATGTTGCCACATGGACAATAATAATAAACGAGAAAATTCCGTTTTAACTTTTAACGTAACATAATCAATTACCAATTCTTTGTCCTCCTTTTCAAAAGTGACATATAACAACATATATTAGAATCGGGAGAACAAAGAATTACACGTTCCATGAAAAGGTCAAAGAAAATTAGAACACAAGAAATGATATAAAAAATCTAACTCATGTTTGCACATTAATTGAACGTTTATATTATTCATTTATTGTTAATTATAATGTATAATAGTTAAATTTGAGGGCAACCTTGGAATATTAAAAGTGCATGAGGGTATATGGGTAAAATCTCATCAAGGATTTATGCCATATTCCAAATTCCACGTCAACATGTGGGATTTATAAGTCCGTGGGGTCCACGGATTTGGACCCTTAAAATCAGTGGGCCCCACGGATTTGGTCTCCAAAAAAGGTGCAAGCAAACAACGGATTGTACCTAAATCCTTGATAGTTGGTTTTTTGGTACCAAATCCAAGTACCAAATCCTTGAAGCAAACGACCCCTTAGCGTAATAGGATAATTTCTATTAGTTATCCTCAATTATAATTTTCAAAGCTATTCACACCAACAGAGCTTGACCAAAAGTGAACAATATATTGATCATAAAAAGGATTGACTGTTACAAGTGGTATCAGAGCCTCTCTGCTTCCCTCGACAATGATAGGATAAACCTCAATAAAGATGTTGAGTTTCAAGGAGGTGTAATGTAACGCATTAAGCAAATCTTACATTGACAAATATTCCATCAAAATCGAAGATATTAAGAATTCAAGAATATGGACAAATATACTAATTAAACTATCATATGGATTTGTGTGTTTTTTTTATTAAACAGCAAAATTAAAACTGCTTTTCTGTTGTTTCGGATTAATGATTTAGCAAGTAAATTACTTTTTTACATATGCCTTGTAGCGACAATCCAAGGACCCATCACCCAAGTCGTTATCAATCACATGTTCCACGAATGAACAAAACATGTAAGATGGCAGTCACTTTAAATTTGTTTAAAGCAAATCACTTTCCCAAAGGGCCGGACCCAGATACTTTTCTGTGTGATGATTGAGGGCATACTGTATATCTCTGTTACACTTTCTAAAGTTTATTTTTAGCGTTAATCATTAAAATGAAATAGGAAGCCATCCCTATAAATCTAATGTATTTTTAAGCCGAACTTCTTCATGAGTGTAGTAACAATACTGATCGTCGCCAATCACCTCAGTGCTTGACCTATTTTGCTACATTAGAGGAAGATCTCTCGTATGATGATTGATGAAGCTGAACAAGAAGCTGCTCCCAATGAGGGATTTTCTCCAGAATAGCACTGTTTTTTTTTTTACAAAAATAGTACCTAATCCCAAAATATTCCAAAAAGAGCACTCTTTCTGAAAATCGCCAGCTAATCCCGCGGTTTACACAAAAATCGATGGGTGGGAGCGCGGTTTTTGAGGAAAACCGCTTGGGTTGGGGGCGGTTAGGTCGATCGCTTAGGTCGGGGGTGGTTCGG